AAAAGGGGGCAGGGGGAGCAAGGGGAGGGGAGAAGGGGGAGAGGAGGAGGGGTGAGGAGAGAGGGAGAGTAGGAGAGAAGGCAGGAGTAGAGGGGAGGGGGAGTGAGAGGGAGAGTGGGGGAGAGAGGAGAGAGGAGAGAATACAGGGGGAGAGGGACAGAAAAGGGAGATGGGGAAAGAGAGGGAAAGAGGGTTGAGGGGGAGAGATGGGTAGAGGGGGAAGGAGAGGGATGGGAGAGAGGGAGGAGATAGGGGGAAAGGGGGACGGGGGAGAGAGGGAAGGGGGAGAGAGGGAGGGGGGAGAGAGGGAGGGGGGAGAGACGAGAGGGAGAAGGGAGGGGGAGATGGGCGGAGGGGGAGGGAGAGCAGGAGAGAGGGTGATAGAGAGTAAGAGAGGGGAGAAGGGTAGAGAGGAGAAGGGAGGGAGGGGGGAGAGGAGGGAGAGTGGAGAGAGGAGGGCAGGGAGAGGGAGGGGAGAGAGTGGGGGGGAGAAAGAGGAGAGGGAAGGGGAGAGGGAGGGGGACAGAGGGAGAAAGGAGAGTGGGGAGAGAAAGGAGAGGGGAGAGAGGAGGAGAAGGAAGCAGGAGGGGGAGACAGGGAGAGAGAGGAGGGGGCAGGGGAGAGTGGGAGTGAAAGAAAGGTAGAGATGAGGGGAGAGAGAGGTGGAAAGGGAAGAGAGGGAGGTGAGGGGGAGAGAGGGGGAGAGGAGATAGAGGAGAGAGGTGGGAAAAGGGGGAGAGGGAGGGGAGAGTGAGAGGGGTGAGAAGGGGAGATGGGGGAGAGAGGAAGGTGAGAGAGAGGGAGAAGGGAAAGAGATGGAGGATAAAGAGGGTGGGAGAGAGGGCAGTGGGAGAGAGGAGAAAGGGGGAGAGGGCCTGAGAGAGGTGTAAGAGGGGGATACTGGGGAAGAAAGGGGGAGAGAAAGGGGGAGATGGGAAGGGGAGGGGGGATATAGCAAGGGAGAGAGGAGAGAGGAGGAAGGGGAGAGGGAGGAGAGGGAAGAGGAGGGAGAGAGGAAGGGTTGATAGAGGGAGAAACGGGCAGGGGAAGAGAGAGGTGGAGAGTGGATGGGGAAGGGGGGAGAGGGAGAATGGGAGGGGAAGGATGGGGGAGAGAAGGGGAGGGGGGGACAGAATGGGGAGAAGGGGGAAAGCAGGACGATAATGGGGAGAGAGGGGAAGGGGAGGGAGACAGGGTGAGATGGGAGAATGAGAAAGAAAGGGAGAGGGAGGAGAGGGGAGAGAGGGAAAAGGAGAGGAGGAGGTGGGAGGGGGAAAGGGAGAGTGAGACGGAGGAGGGAGAGTGGGGGAAAAGAGAAAGAGAAAAGGGGAAGAGGAGGGGAAGGGGAGAGGTGGGCGAGGAGGAGGGAACAAGTGGTGAGGGGGCAGGGGGAGTGGTGTGGGGGGAGGGGGAGAGTGTGCAGTGGGAATGAGAGGGAGGAGCAATGAGGGAGAGGGAAAAGATGCACAGGGAGCGAGGGGGAATGGAAGGAGAGGAAGGGAAGGGGAAAGGAGGAGAGGGGATGGGCAAAGAAAGGAGGGGGAGAGGGGAGGGTAAAGAGAGGGTGAGAGAGGAAGGGGGAAGGAGAGGGGGTACGGAGAGGGGTGAAGGGAGATTGGAGAGGGAGAGATGGGTTGAGAGAAAAGGAGACAGGGGAGAGAGGGGCAGGGGGAGAGAA